TTGCAATAGAGAAATCGAGGGAAATAGGCTTAACCTACAGAGAAAGAGTGTAAGGAAAGAATGCGAGAAAAAGATAGAAAAAGTGAGTGAAACAAATGAAATCGAGTAAGAAATCTCACAAATAGTAACAACACACACTCATACACATAGAGTCACATAGAGGCTAGGACTAATCTGTCTTCATGGTGCGGAGATTGATATCGTGGAGGACGATGAATTAGCCTCTTGCCTCACCGATCGAACACGGAGGAAGCTACAAGAGTGCTTGGTTAAACGGTGCCATTAAGTTTCAACTGTCTTTAAACCTACTACTTCAAGTGCAATTATCAACTCCTTGCAAAATTGTTGGCTTTCTCATCTACAAAAGGCAACTCGGTATTCAAGGAAACAGATAATTAGGTTCCACTCACTACGTCAACTAAAGCAAACGCATCTAGAGCACTTACCAGGGAAAATAGAAGAATCTTCACCATTATCATCATTGTTTCCACCATCATCAACATTGTCCTCGAAACGGAATAGACTTTTCTAGGTAAGAATCCTTACAACCTAAAGAATTCATACTCTCAAAGACCATAAAGTTAAGAGCACCATGAATTAGCCGATCCACTTTCAAGGTGCCTACTAGCTATTTGTTTATGCATTCTCTTTCAGCTTGCCGGTTGTAATATAATAAGTTTAGTTGTGAAAATAACTTCGTATGTTAGTTCGTCAGTTTATTACCAATGATAGGAACGTAGAAAAACACGTCACTATATAGATATAGGCCGTAGTTTGTTTATAGACACAAGCTCTTATTTATGCCGGGACGGTACAAGAGTGAGATTGTGCTAGCTCCATGCAAGTCTTTTAGTAACTACTCCAATGGGTGATTCCTTGCTTACAAAGCAAGTATTAAAGGACTATGTTATTACGAGAGCGGATCAGGCGGATCTTATCGTTTTAGACTTTCGATATTTTGATGTTTGGTATGGATTGGTTGTCTACATACCATGCTTGTGTGGATTGTTTTAGGAAGATAGTGACTCAACACCTTGTAAACCATCGTTTGAACTTGTCGGGGTGTGTGATGAATATCCCGCTACAATCTCGGCTATTCATGCCACTCCACTTTTTGCTTGCATGTGGTACATGGCTTTCATTTCGGAGAGAGCAGAGTGTTCTAGGCCTTAAAGACATACCACGGGCCCTTTTACATGCAAGACTGGTGATGGGCTTTACTAAGTATTAGATATGGGCTAACGGGTCACATCAGGAGCGGTCTCTGAGAAAAATGATCTCGCTTCGATTCGCATAAAGGGGTCAAAGAGGAGAGGGTGGGATACGAAGTCGGGCATCTAGGTGCAATTTCTAATTTAAGAAAGCATTTGAAAAGAAAGGATTGGGTTAGCCGAGTTTGACATGGATGGTTCTTCAACCGCTCCACCCTCGATGTGATAAAGTCCCCCTTCTCTCGATAAAGAAAGAGCACCGGTCCACGGATAAGCTAAAAGGCGGATGCAGTAATCATTATAGAAACTAGGCATGAAACAGAACTAGGGACAAAGAAGAGAGCCAAATAACAAGTTTAGCAAAAGACCAAGCACCCGCAGGAAAGAGATACAGAGGAAAATGGCATTCTCAAAGCCAAAAGGTGTAACTGAACTCCAAACCTAAAGTAGAGGGGACAGTAAGTAGAACCATCCTCCGAGGAAGCACTGGTTCGAGGAAGAATACCAGATCCAGTTGAGGAAGAGGTGGTACTCTGCAGCCAAAGGAGTAGTACTGGGGTTAGCTCTAACCATCTTGTACAGAAGAAGGGATTACGACTAGCCTAACTCAATCTCAAAAGGGCGAGAGTTTGATTCAATTAGAAATCTCAAATCAAGGCAAATCCGTTCATTGAAGGAAGTGAAATAGCTCCCATCACTTCATCTACTGCCTGTTCAACTAATCGAATTCACCCTTTATTCCGATTGGAATTCCTTTTATCGAATATCCCTGCTCGTACTTCGAAGTCAGATTCCCGGCGGTTGCATCTAACCTGCTCCCAATCTGATCCCTATCCTAGTTCTGGCTCCGGACCACTTTCATCAGCAGATCCTGCCTTTCCTCTCCTTTAATTTGTCATAGTTTGTTTGATTTATCAATGCTAGGAAGAGTGAATAAATAAATTGAACTAGTGCGCTAAGTACGTTACTACAGACCGGAATGGAGAATGGCAATAGCATTTGGAAGGGAGTGTTTGTATTTCAATAACTAGACAACAGCCGTTAGTCAAAATACTGATATCCCCCTCGTTCACTTAAGTGGTAAGAAATGCTTTAGGTGAACATGCATGCAGCAATAATTATGTATTATTCAATTGTTATTGATTCCTACGTAGTACTTGACTATGAGATAGAGGAAGGATCTTATAATTGCTTATATAAGCAAATTCCTAATTCTAAGACATAGGTTTCATTATGCGGGGCGTAGCGAAATATAGAAACTTGTTTTTTTGAACTTTCATGTCCTCGTAACCTCACGTCTAACCTTCAGATAGGAAACTAATACAAGGCTACGGAGATGCATGTTCAGATCGATAGATGCTCATGCCCTGAAAGAGAAACAGTAGACACACAAGAGTACAATAGAGCAGCGTGAGCTTTGAAAGCTGCCACGATGGCCTTCCCATCACCGGGCTTCAGTCGTAGGCAGCACGCAGACGCCGTTCGTGTCTTGAGATGGATCACTTCCTCTTGGTGAGGATGGTATCGACGATGGCCGCGAGCATCTTGATGCGCCCGTCCTTGTCCCTGAGCTCCTCCTCCAGCTCCCGCAGCTTGGCGCACTGCGTCTCGCCGGTCCTCGCGGCGGAGTGGAGCTCGGCCGCCACCTCGCGCTCGCGCCTCTCGGCGTCCCGCGTGGCCGCCTTGGCCGCCTCCGTGCCGTCCACCACCGCGTCCAGCTCCCGCCGCAGCGCATCCGCGCGCTCCCGCAGCCGCCGGATGGCCTCGCGGCGCGGCGTCGGCCTGGCGGACGACGACGGGCGCTGCAGCAGGCTCTCCCTCAGCGCCGCGGCCGCCGACGCTGACGTTCCGGCACCGGGGCTCGGCGTCGGCATCGGCATCGACGACGTGATCAACGCTACGGGCATCGATGGACCGCTAGCCGCCGATTCGGTTTCCTATATCGCGAATTGTGTTTTGGGTCGGCAAGCAAACTACTTTCTTTGTTTTCTCGTGGCAATGCGAGGCGGTGGTATATACGAGCTTGAAACGCCGTGGGCATTTGAAGACGGCGCTCGTTAATTACAAGCAAGCCGCCGATTAGGAATAGACAACTTGTCAGAGTACGAATAGGGAAGCTCCGGCCTTGACCGAATTAGAAATCCCGTAACGGGAAGGATGGGGACGTTCTCCCCACAATTAACCGTAAATAAAAATAATAATAATTACAGGATATCTGGCCCATCTGGAGCGTGGGCTGCAGTGCCGGCCCATCTTTGTGGGCCGCAGAAACCGTCCCCTCCAGAACAACAACGTTACTGGTTGTGAAAGAAAAATAACGTTATTAGCTAGCGTTATTATCTCCGTGAGCAGCACTGCTTTTGGGGGAAAAAAATGAGGTAGGGACAGCCCAGGAAGATCTATGGTATGAAACGTGTCCATGCGTAAATATTTAACCCCTGATCTGAGGGAGGAGTTGTCAAACGGAGCACAGCACAGCTGATGCGAGGGCCATTACCGAAATTAAAAAGAAAGGCATACCATGAAACTGGATCGAATTCTAATCTGCCCACGGTTATATTAGTTAGTTTCTAGTGCAAGCGACAGGCGATCATATACGCTAGCGTCTTTAACAATTCATGGTGCGCGTGCACATTACCATTAGCTTTAGTGAGCGGAGCCTGTCATGCACCAGCGCACACTTGGCGCCTGCAATGACTAAACAATGCTGCATAATGCACAACAATGGGGCAATGTGCCTTCCAGTGCTACATGGCTTTTATCACGATGACTAAACATTCTCATCCTGAATCCACAGAGACCTGCTTTTTTGGGCATTGTTTGGTGACTCATCGTCGCTGAAGAAGTGGACTCATGTGGATTCAGAGTAAGCATATGTATGTGCTCAACCTAGTTCGTCAGACCTTTATTTTCCCAAGCCAATCCTCATCGGCCGCAGAGTTGATTTGGTGATCCACGCAACAATCACTTAATTTCTTTCTAGTGCAGTATATATATAATCAGTGTACCTTTGGACATGCATAGCACGCATAGAAACAAAAGCTAAAAAATTGTTTAGTCAGCTGCAGGGATATCTATATCTGTGTGGACAAATAAATGACCTTAACTGACGACAGGTCGACGGCCATCATTCCCTCAGGCTAACTGGAGCCACACAGCTGAGTTCCATTCCAAGCAGCCAGGCCTTTATTTGCTTCTTGTGGTACACCCACTCATTCTGCAATTCAGTTGTGTTGTGCTGCCTCAGGCAGTATAAATTGGATGCCTCCACTTCAGGCAAACATGCTACTACTCAGGTAGCCAGCACATCGACACATCTAGGCCCTTACTCGGTTTGGAGGTCGAGTGTGCTTGTCAGCGACAGCAACCAAGAATGGTTCCAAATACAGTCCGTGTTGCCGTAGGAATCCTAGGTCAGTAGTTCACATCTACTACAACTACATGCTGTTCGAATCATATTATTATTTCTTGAATAACTGTAAAGCCTACGCCCCTTCTGTCTGTCTCTCACTCTCTCTTGCAGGAAATGCTGCTTCCATGCTCCTCTATGCAGCCCCTATGTATGCATCATATATGTCCTGAATTATATTACTATGCATTATCTGAAACAATTAGTCCTGCTTATCACCTGTACATGCTCTGGCTCTGCAACATATGTCACACCAGATTGACGTTCAGAAGGGTGATAAAAAAGGGCAACGTGGAGGAATTCTCATGCGTGCCATACATCCTAGCTCTGTTCAACTGCCTCCTGTACACCTGGTACGGGCTCCCAGTAGTGAGCTCCGGATGGAGAACCTGCCCGTCGCTACCATCAACAGGGTGGGCATCCTGCTGGAGATCTCGTTCATCGGCATATACGTATGGTTTGCACCAGCAGAGAAGAAGGCAAGTGGTGGCCGTGACGATGCATTATCTTCTTTCATTCATTATTATTCACACGTATTGTCAGACGAGTCTGAACTGTTGAGTGCTGTTAGCACTTATTAGCAGGCTACCTGATTCTGAATTTATTATTGTTTCTTAATTTGCAGAGGTTTGCCTTGCAGCTGGTGCTTCCTGTGCTGGCGTTGTTTGGCTTGACTGCGGCTTTGTCGAGTTTCGTGGCCCATACACACCACACGCGCAAGGTTTTTGTGGGCAGTGTTGGGCTGGTGGCTTCCATATCCATGTACAGCTCTCCAATGGTGGCAGCTGTGAGTATTTATCAGTCATAAGTATATAGTAATACTATACAGTATACATAGCCTTCACACTGATGAGTAACATAGAACAAATGTCCAATTGGACAACACAACTACTAGCAGACTACTAGCTCATGATAAAACCCTGTCCTGATGAATTAACAAAGGCTCAATTCTGAATCTGACCGACCTGTCATGTAAAAAAATTCAGATTCACCAACAGTTAATGCAGGAACCAAATCGAACTAATGAAGATAACGGCGTATACTAAAAATCTTCAATCTTCCACTTTGACAACATTTGTCTACTACGGTCGATCAAGTGTTCTAAACCAAGGATCTTCTGGACCGGACACCTGTGATTGCAGAAGCGAGTCATAACGACGAAAAGCGTGGAGTTCATGCCGTTCTACCTGTCGCTGTTCTCCTTCCTGTCCAGCGCGCTCTGGATGATATACTGGCTCCTCGGAAGGGACTTCTTCATCGCGGTTAGCACATCATTTGGATCCCATCAAGTTCATGTTCATGGATAAAACATATATATACATACAGAAGTACAGAACCCAGTTAACCACCGGACTCTTGTCTGACGCTTCCGTTTGGTTGCTTGTTCTTGATCCTTTGCAGTCGCCAAACTTCATCGGCGTTTTGATGGGCATGCTTCACCTGCTGCTGTACTGCATCTACAGGAGAGGCGACGGGGCAGCAGCTGAAGCAGAGTTGCGTGTGCATGGCGCCGCCGCTGGTCAGGAGAAGGGCCTGAAAGCAGCGGTGCCGAGGTGCAGCCGCAGGAGACAGCTGCGAGCAGTAGGGTCAATCAAAATGTCTGAAATCAAAATCACTTGTGACTTTCTTTACCTCAGTCTGCGGCCCAGCCCAACGGCCCAAGCCAACACCTCACTGGACTTTCCGTCTCCAAGGCGAATGAATAGAAAGTTGGGCTCATGGGCTGTACGGCCACTCAGCAGCGACCCTCCATGCTGTAATGTCACAAATCCTTAACGGGGCCGTGCGGAGGCCGTACAAGGCCTACTTTGTTAGGAGGCCCGTACTGTTTGTGTTTTCGCTGATTCCGAAGAACCCCCCCCCTAGATTAACAATAGTTCATCTCATAAAAAATGGCATAAAGCTGACCCCCCCCTCATTTGCAATGCATCTTTTCATTTTTATTGATCACCTCCTCTAAACAGATTGCCGAAACTTTTCATAAAAACAAAAACATTACCAAAACCTCATATCCTATTTTTCTTCTTCCATCTCTCTTTTTATTGTCCATACACACTTTATTATAACTATACTTCTATATCACAATAATTTTAGAATTTCATATTCAACCATGACATATATAGGGTCCAATGCACCAGATAATCCATGAAAAACATGAAGAAATCTATTGCCCATGCAGTTGCTACATATATGCTAAAAAGGTTTTTTTTAAACAATGGCAGGAGCTCTGCCGCTCAATACGCAAAAAAGGTTATCACCAAGTTGTTCATCTGTCTCACACTTCTAGAAAATCTTTAGTCCAGTCTTATTCTTCTCTCGAGCCTGATGGTTGTATCCACTTGACTCTTTCGACTGACCTTGCTTGTTCTTTTTTGTCATGTTGTGTGCATGATCATTTGTGATGTCATAATGTGTCATAAAGTTTTTTAATCCTAAAATCTACTAGACCCACAACTCGGCGCACAACAACATCGAATGCTTAGCGGTGTCCTTGGAATGGGGGGTAACGGAGCGGAGCACTGAGGGAGGAAGGAAGAAATAAGAGTACTATGATGAGCTAAGACTTCTTTCCGACGCATTTAGGAGTGAGAGGGTTGTGTGTTTTCGTATTGTAAGTAGGATAAACAATCAATCATAGATCTCTAATGCTCTCTCCCAATTCCCCCACATCTTCAAACTTCATCCAAAGCTGGCACTAGCCTAACTATCGTCCACCTGTCCCCACCCGTGGCCATCTACCACTTGCGCGCCTACCACCACCACTATCATCACCTATGGCTAGTGGCAAATGCCGCCTCCAAGCCACTCCAACCATCCCTTTAACCATGGGGATCTCCAAATTGACCTAGACGACCCCCCCCCCCTAAATACAACCCCCTCCCCTCACACCCCTAACCTAGCGTGAACATAAAGGAGGGACAAAGAAAGAAGCTGACAAGTCGACTCGCAAAGATCCTAAAGTCATTCCCTCTGAACTCTCTAGGAAAATTAAAAAAAATCAATAGGAATGGTCCCCATGCAACAGTCATGGGCACCTGTCGATTGTCATGGATTCACAACATGTGTTTATGCACGTGCATCCAACTCATGAAAGAGATGTAGTTTTCTTTCCAACTATTTCTCCTAAATTTAAGCAACAATCCCCATGTAGATGCAAACGTATGGACACATATCGTGAATCCAAGTTAGATGCCAACATCTGCTCTACAGGAACTGTCCCATTGATTTTTTTTTCTCTGGAAAACTATACGCCCCTTATTTGGAGCACGTTTAATTTGATATACCAAAGTAGAGTAGAAGATAGAGCTGATGAGTGGTCTGAAAAGGTCAATTATTTCACATGGCCACTACTTTGTGGATGATGGTGATATATATGTTTACCTTGGGAAGGATGATTCAATCATGGATATCCCTGTGCCATATCTAATAGTCAGTTGGGTATTAGTGTTGAAGCATACGTAAATTGTCTATATTTTTTTTATAAGTTAGTTTTTTTAATTGAACTTGTCAGCGCGCAACTTAATACTTACACCCCTCATCCTAAAAAGAATGACATTCTAGTTATGAATTTTGGCAAGCATTTATCTAGATTTATAGCTAGAATGATATTGTTTTTGGGACTGAGGGCGTAGATTACACGTTGAGACATCTCTCTTCTTTTTTACTTTGTTGATCTGATGTGTACAGTCCCCAAGGTTTATCGGCTGCCGAAAGGGCATCTTTCAGCTGCTGCTCCACTGGAGTCTGCACCTGTGTATTATGTACATGCATGTCTACGTACAGGAGAAGCGACTGAGGTGCAGACTGCTGAAAAAGGCCCACGCATGCATGACACCGATCAGGAATATGCATACTAAAGTAGTAGCGGTAGTAACCATGCCTGCGCATGCATGCAGATGCAGATGATGCAGGAGATAACTGGGTGCAAAACCAGAGGGCCAGAAATACAAGATTGATGTGTTTTCTCTGAATCTGAGTGAAATGGTAGCAGAAGCTCAGAATGAAGTTGCCCTCGGAAAATGGTGCCGTGGCAGCCTGCGACGACTGATGTGGCTCACGGTCACGGGCCGGTCGTCACATTAGCCGCCACACATCAAATCTCATGGCTCATCAAGAGTGTCAAGAAGGAGAATTACCATTATCTCCTCTCGACCTCTTGTACTAGTACATCTGTACACGCTAGCTTTTGTATGGAGTATATATAGTAGTACGTGGCTACGTGTATATACGTATATACACTGCATGCATATGCATCCATTCCGTCATGTGAAGGAATGCATGGACTACAGGAACCAAAGAAAGCAATTACCTAACCTGATGGAGCCAACACCGTATATTCTCGATCGCGCTGCATGATTTGCCGGCCTGCATGCATGCGGATCGGATATCCATCCATCCATCCATCCATCATTGGTTCTTGCGTTGCCGCCCGGCCGGCGAGCGAGAGATTAGTTCCCGCACTGCACCCCGGCCGCCGCGCGCACCTTGGACGGTCGATCGGTGCTCTGCATGCTGTACCGTGTCTCGGTTCGTGGTTGCAGGCCGCCGCGCATGCTGTGCAGTGTGTATGCAGGCCGGCGTCGTGAGGTGTGGTTGCGTCGTCGTCGTCGCCGGCCTCGTTCTGGTTTCTAGCTAGCTCTCGCCGACCTGCTAGCTATAGCTGCTCCCGCGCGCGCATGCATGCACTGCCATTGTTGACCCTTGCGCACGCGCGCACGTGCTCTCACTGTCTCACACAGCTCATCATGCATGCACACCCAGCGTGCAAAAGTTATCTACTAGTACTAGGCAGTAGGCACTACTAGCTGATGATGGAGCTTAGATTGGACATTGGAGCACGTACGTACAACGTTCATGGCCCAATGCAACAGTCTCTCCACTGCTATCATGTTTGAACCATGATCCAAGGTGTCGTCTAGCTAGCTAGCTACCAGCGCCGATCGATCGATATATACATGCCGACGACTTCTCTGGATAGCTATGGCTGCTATGTGCTAGGCCGGCCGGGCACATTACGTACAGTGGCCAGGTGGTGGAGCTCAACGACAACGATCTCGTCGTCTGCTGGCTGTTCATGCAGGGCCCGTCCCGTTGCAGAGGCCACGTGGACGCGTTGGCCACTTATGTGTGCATGATTGGCCTTTAATTTAGCTCTGTCCCGTCGCTACCAGGCGTGCTCGCGCTACATGTACCGCCACTTACGTACCACCACCTTGCATTGCATTGTCACCCAAGGTGCGTGCTAGCTGCATATATATCCTCTATTCCTTAACATGCATGCATACATCACCGGTACTTGGAGTTTGGAACTCTAATAACCACCACATGCATGCATTTTTTTTGAGAGTTTAGTGTATTTTTTAATTATTTTTATAACACTTTTCCTAATGCTCAGATGCCTGAGTTCTCAGGCGATACCGTATCCACTCCTGCCTTGATTTTTCCTCCATCTAGCTAGCTAAATCTCAGCCTTACATGCTCATGAGCCAACGGTGAAGATTGTTGCTTGAAAACATACTATATTCCAGGCACTTGAAATATAGTGAGTTCCTCTTTATAAGCTAGAAAAAATTTATAGCTAATCCAAACATTCTAGCCTATTGTGTATGCAATAGAACATAATAAGGTCAAGGGCAGAGTTAAAATAAATTGGAGGGGAGGACGAGTTAATTGATTTATGACATGAGGGGTATTTTTGCATTTCAATGTGGTTGCACCTGCGCTCCCTAAAGTGTAGGTGCACCCCTGAATAAGGTAGTACTTACTCTTAGTTTTTATACACCACATCACATGCTAGTACTTTAAAAAAATATAAGTGTTAGAAATTCTTGGTTAAGTTGAGTGCCCAAAGCTAATCAAAATTGTTTTTCCCTCATTTATTCATATTCTCATTTGACTAAATACTTATCAATCCTTATTTGGTTATGACAATTCCCATTTACTCCATATGGTTAGTGCGAGGACCTTCCATGTTAATCTATCTAAACTGACTGTCATCCTCTTGACCAACTCGGATTATGTAATTCAACTCTGGTAATCGAACCCTGGAGATGACATCTGCATACTCCACTAGCACAAGACACAGGATTTCAGTTGCATAATATCCACATATAGCGCCACAACTCAAGATCAGAGAGAACATAACTATAGATTCAATCAACCAGTATTGCCAAAACATAATGTCCTCATCAGTGGCACCAAGACATGCTTCTATTAGCCCAAATCCGAGAAGATATTTTAGGTGGCACTGGCGTTGTGTGGTGGTGGTTGATCATACACCAAAAGACGGTAAACAAAAAGCTACCCAAGTGCATGTCGTGAATCATCAGTTGGACTGCACCAATATCATCTTCATCAAGATCTTCCTTAGTTCCTTAGTGATGGTGATCTGCAATGAATAACGACCAACAACTTCGGACACTCGTGTTCCTCAATGACCAAAACCCCATGATCGACTCGAGGCCGGCATGGATTGGTAGCTCATTAGCATCATCTTTGAGTCCTAGGATTTCTACGGCAGGGAGAAGACTGTGAGCGGAAATGGATGGAGGAATGAGGAACAAGAGGGCGCAACAAGGATAAGGTTGTATCTGGCCCCGCATATAGCTATCGGGTTTGACCCAACCATCTGGCCGAGATAGATTGAGCCAGGAGCATAAACGACAATCCATAGTGGTTTATCTCCCTAAAACTACATAAATTCTTATTTTATTACTTGCGGTGTCAAGCAGCAAAGATCTCCAAAATCACAATGGTAGTCATATGAGAAGTAGTGG